GGAACATTGGCTGTCAGGATGTAGGCGGGGCAGCCAGGATGTAGGAGGGGCAGCGTGACAAACTCCTCTCCTTTCACAGTCCGCCCTGAAGACCGGAACACAGCGCGGGAACACAGCGAGAGGAACGCGCGGAGCAAAGGTAAGTGAATTGAGACAATATGGGGAATGAATTACTATAGGGGGAATGAATTACTATGGTGGATGAATTACTATATGGGGGATGAATTACTATGGGGGATGAATTACTATATGGGGGATTAATTACTATATGGGGGATGAATTACTATATGGGGGATGAATTACTATATGGGGGATGAATTACTATGGGGGATGAATTACTACATGGGGGATGAATTACTATGGGGGATGAATTACTATGGGGGATGAATTACTATATGGGGGATGAATTACTATATGGGGGATGAATTACTATATGGGGGATGAATTACTATGGGGGATGAATTACTACATGGGGGATGAATTACTACATGGGGGATGAATTACTATGGGGGATGAATTACTACGTGGGGGATGAATTACTACGTGGGGGATGAATTACTACATGGGGGATGAATTACTATATGGGGGGATGAATTACTATATGGGGGATGAATTACTATATGGGGGGTGAATTACTATACGGCGTAGCTACTCAATGTGGTTCAGCTCCGCCTCGCCACGAGTACAGTGCCTGATGACGTTGGATTTGTTTTAAATGTTGCAATGGTTTTGCGGCTCCCAGTCCTTTTTTTTCCCTACGGAAACGGGTCCAAGTGGCTCTTTATGTCTTAAAAGTTGCAGACCCCTGGCCTAGGTGATCACAGCGGAAGTGGGAGTGGGTACTTGTCGAATTCAGGTATCTGCACCCCGCTCCCCAAAGGTTCCAATCCTTAATGGGGAGCGGGGGACAAAGCATTAAAGCAGAACTTCCCCTTTCGGGTGGAACTCCACTTTAACAGGCTGTGCAGATCCCGGCCAAGTTGTTTAACTGGAATTTACGGTGGCCTGCTTTATGTCCCAAGTTGAGCTAACATGGGCGGTTCAATCTTTTCTTTGCCTTTCAAAAGTTGTCACCCCTTGCTGCAGAATAGAAATCATATTTAAATCTAAATGTTTTGTCGCAGACTTGCAAATTTTGGCACTGTGTTCTCCCCTTCTTCCAACTCAGCTTGGGGTCTTCAGATATCATTATTGTCATGTTTTTCTGAGCACAGATCTTTAAATAATGATGTGAGGGCTGCAAGGCAATAATGCTAACTGTATAGACACTGAGCTCAAATAAATTAAACATGTAACCCACTTTAACTGTTAGGTTTTTTTTTTGCTTTGTGTTGGAATTTATTGCATCAGACTTTTGAAATGAAAATTAAATGATAATAAAATAAAGAGCAGTTTGGCAAACATTGGAATTTTGCCTTACTTGGCTATGACATGTGGCTTTCTCACAAGTTTCAGCGTGACTAATTTTTATAGATAAGCACAATAATAGCCTAATAGTTTATCCAACAACACATTATTTTCTTCATGAACTATTTATTTCTTCTTTTTACTGCATGTTATAAAACAAATAGCTTTATTATTGCATTGTTGTGTATATTGTATTAAAGATTCTTTTATTCTGCTTTTAGTCTGCATATATTAAATGTCCAATTTATTTACCTCTGAGGCATTCTTAGGGCCAGACACATAATTTTACATTGCAGGGGATCTGAGTACAGCAGAATAAGTTAATAGGAAACAGATCGCACTGGAATAGTCATGTTTATCATTCCATTGTCCTCACTACTCAAGCATGCACATAACGCAGTCTTCTACAGTTCTTTAGAACTGTCTGCATATTTGCCTACCTGGAACTGAAATGTAATCAGAGTGAGTACATACCTGAGAATGGCACCATGCTTTCTGTACAACTATTTTTCCTATTTTTCATACTGAATCCTCCATATTTACCTCAAAAAATCCTGCTGTTTATTGGGAGGACATCACCCCCCCCCCCCCCTTAGTGAAAACAGGACAAAACACATGTTTTTAGGAATGCAGACGATGATATTTCTCCTTTTTTGTGAAACATTCCTTTTTATTGTGTAAGAATGCCTATTAGGCACGCATGGCTCGGTCACATTTTGTTAAGTCTTACAAATCTTTTAAAGCATTCATTGCAACAAAGCATTATAGAACCCATTTTAATCACAACTCCCATTTGAATAACGTTCCAGGAATGAACACATTGTGGTCACAGTATTTTCACATAGGTAGTCATATGTTTTTTTAGTACCCTGTATAGATTTCCCAAATGTGCTTACCTACAGCATCATTCAGTCCCCCTGCCCTGCCCAAATATTTGACGTTCTAATTTTGCAAAGTTGCCACATTTTCCTCTGCCACAAAACAGTCCCACAGGCTCATCATTATACTGGGCAGTCCCACTGAATGTGTGAGAGATGAATAAAGAGAGTTAGTAAAGTCCAACACTACCAGAAAGTGCCAAAGTTTTGCCCTATCAAAATGACTTGGCATTCAAGAGACTGAACAGGAAAGGTCAATTGCTTCCTAAAACTACTGGAGGTTTTTATTGCAGATGGTGGCACTCTGGCTATGAAAAGGGTATGAATGGTGAGCTACTCCTACTCAAAGCTCCTACACACTGGTACACTTTAAGGTCACCATAGATATCAGTCACAAATATTGGCTGCAGGGTCCCTAGAAACGAATTGTTGCATCATGCACTCATTATGTGTAGTGTAGACTATGGAGAAGAGCCAGATAGGCATACTAGAGATTGCTGTGGCACCTATTTGCTGTAGGGGAAAAAATTGCAATCGGACATACTTTCTTGAACTGTCCAATCTCTGGTCTACCAGGCAAGCCTCAGCTGGAAAATTCTGCTAGTGACTCACTGACTTGAGATTGTTTCCTAATTTAGCTAACAATTGACAAATAATGAGACTTTCATCGAATGTCATTAGTTCTAACTGCTGATAACAATGGTCGCTATGTCAAATACTGATCATTATAGTTTAATGAACTAAGCCACATGACTGCTTAGCAGTGGAATTACTAACCATTAAGGAAGAACATTTTTCTTGGCTGGAGATAAGCAAATACGTTGCATGAGTTTTTAGGCTAACATATGACTAATTTTGTATGTGTATGTTTAAATTTCAAGAAAAATATGTTATCCGGACTTTTGCAAACAATATAAGGGGCTTGGTATATGAAGGCATTTGTCCTTAGTTGTCTCTACTGAGTAATCTCTAATATTCAGTATGGTGCTCAGGACATGCACTTGGCAGTAGCAGCACTGCAAATCAATCAAGGTTTACTGCAGTGCACAGAATGCTGATGGGAGGGTAAATCACAGGATTGACCTCATCAGTGCATTGCTGCTCCTTTACTGTCCAATTACAGGCTGGGGTTGTCCTTGCCCAAACAGTGCTATTATAATAGCAGTAGAGAAAAGTGAGGTTTACTTTCTATTTCTAAAAACTACGTATCCCATGGTACCATGCTGCCTGCAAGCAGTGATTCCTGTACTGACTTCACCTCCTTAAACTCCTCCTCTCCTCCTCACAAGACAGGTTCTGTGGAATGTGTGACTCAGCGGTTCCTGCTCACAGAACATAACGAATATGTCAAAAGAATTCAAGTAAGTATATGGGGATTTTTAACAAAAGTAAGTTTACAAACTTTAAGATAATTTAGGTTATTAGGAATAGGCTTTCACATCTAATTTTGAAATTAATAATTCATTTAATAATTAAATGAATTTTTTTCTAATCATAAAAATGCTTTCCCATGTCAATACCGGGCCAATTCTGACAATTCTCACTTATATGTACAAATCTACTTTTTTAAACTAGTAAATTACTTAGAACCCCCAAACATTGTATATATTTTTTTTAGCAGAGGCCCTTTTTATGTCACACGGTATTTGTGCAGAGGTTTTTCAAACACAATTTTTTAAAATCTATTACACTCAAACACTAAATAATACCCATTTTTAATCAAATATAAAAGATGATGTTACGCCGAGTAAATAGATACCTAACATGTCACACTTTAAAACCATGTATGCCCATGGAATAGCGCCAAACTACGGTACCTAAAAGTCTCTATAGGCGTTGCATTAAACGTCTTTACAGGTTACCAGTTTAGAGTTACACAGGAGGTCTGGAGCTAAAATGATTGCTATTGGGCAGGTAAACAAAGAACCAAAACTGGAAGTGACGAAATCCTCGCCGCTTACGGTTTCTGGGGTCACAGAGATGGAGGAACAACATCAATTCTTCTCTCTCTTTTTCCTGCGGCAGATCTCACCGGTTGTATCAGTCCCAAGCTCCCTGATCAGACTGGAGAACCCAGGAAAGGTGGTGGCAGTGGCAGGAAAGGAGGACCCCCTTCCGCCACCCTTAGAAGTGATTGAGTGGCTCTTTCAGCCTCTTGAGTCACTTCTGCTTAACAGGGAATTTCTGGCTGCAACTTTTGATAATGGTATAATGCGTGCAGATGCAGGCATCATCCCGGTATAACCAATTCACTCCCAGGACGTCATATGACGTCCACCAGGGAGAAGTGGTTAATAAGGAAACAAGCTGTGCAAAATTAAAACATTTTTGGCAAGTAAGAATGTTTATGCTTACATATTTGAGATGTGAATGTAGCTGTTTGCCTTCACTTCTGTTTTAAAGGTTTTTAATGCCCTTAAAACTCTTTTTACAGTTTACAAGAATCAAAGAAAAAGGCCACATGTTCCTTCGGGTAAACAGGACAGTTTGGCAAACTGCCTAATCTACACAAAATATGCTATTTATATGGAAAACGAAATGGCAGTGTTTTATCAGGACTCAAAATAAATGTTCTGTAGAATGCGGATAATGAATACCAGACTTGAAAAGTGCTCTGATAAAACTTTCCCTCACATACCAATGATAGTCGGAAGCTTCTCCCATGTAACTATCCACAATTTATCATAAATAAAACAATAAAGCAAAGAAGAATAGTTACCCATATTCCGGATATGGAATTGATCTACGTATTATGGTGGGCGGATGTCGAGGACCAACCGGTGAACATTTACAGCTTGTGTGATTGGCAACTTTGATAGTTACAGGTTCAGGTGCTTGTGTTAGTGGGACAGAAATTTGAAAAACCTATGAAAATAAATATATTTATAATGGTTAGTCATTTCTGATGTTTTTTTTTTTTTCATGGATTTACATGGGAGTATTTCTGTATATTTAAAGGGGAAGACTCTCCACAGAAAGGAAAATCATGCAGCTAGAGCATTGACAGACTAGAGACCAGCTATAAGGAAACCAGTAAGAGGTTATCTGTGATCTGGTGGGACCAGATATGTAAGCTACACACAGGAGATACCGCTGTTTAATAAAGACAATACAATTTGTTGGTGAACATACAACATACAAAACATAGAATGTACATTTAATAAGTCAAGACTAACTACAAACTAACTAACTAAAAGTATTGCAACATCAGGCAAGGGGCAGGATTGCAGGGAAAATAAAGTCAGAGTAGGTCAGGGCAGGTACTGATGTAGATCAGACAGGAACAAGAATGGGTGCATAACCACTATGCTGGTTCCAGAGGTGGGGCTACATAGCCTTCCAGCAGCCAACATAAAATGGTGACTAATTTCAAGGTTCTGTTGTCTGCTGTGATACACCTGTTGATGGGCACTGAATTTACCCCAATCTGACCCAGGGACCACAGTACCACCAGCAGGGGCTCTGGATGCTCTGCACTCTCTTGACACCTAGACTCTCTCTAGATCACCAAACTCACTTTGACTTTTTTAACCAAACTGGGACTGTTCTAAGCATTGGCAAAATCTCTTCCCTTTTCTTTGAAGATGATCCTCTAACTACTGTGGAAATTTTCCAACATAGCATTCACTCTTGATAAACAGGGCTACATGACTGTAAAGTGTATGTAAAGAAACTTTTTTTTGGTTTAGGCAGAGTTGAATATTGTTAAATGCCTTGTCAGGTTATTTCATTGATGTCTTTACCACCACTGGGGATATTTATTCGCCCTATTTTTTCCTGGTGGCCATTATCATTTGAACAGTGATAGGAAATCTCAAATTTTCACCAGAACATGGGGTGAGAGGAAACCTTGCAATCACTATTTCAGTAACACCAACTGGGAATTTTCCTGGTTTTTGAAAGATTTCCTCCTACTTCCTTTTTTTTCTGGGGGAAAAAAGGCAAATAAACTCTCCCAAATGAAAATATGCAATAGGGTTACCAAAGAAGGAGAGATTGTTCTCTTAGCAAAGTGAAGTTGCACATTTTTTAAATATCTCTGCACGTGAATGGGGTATGCATTGTTAACACAGTTTCACTTTGCCAAGTGAGCATTATTCTACTAATTTAGTATATTAACCATATAGAAAAATAAAAAGCTTTCTTTTTTCTTTGATGGACTGAGTGGGAAAACATTGGAACCTCTGTCTCATTTTATTACCATCCATGTACCTATTGCAGAAATTGTACCTCACTTCCTGTTCTGCTGACAGGGGATCAGAAGGTGATAGTTTTCCCAATGGAGGACACATACAACAACAAAAACCAGATAAGGGTTCCAACCAACAGAATAGAACAAGCTTAGTATGATCTAAATATATCTTCAACAGTTAGACAAATAGATAATTGTCATCTGATACAGGTGATTTTATGGCTTTTGCCAGGTATAAGGGCAATTATACATATATTAGATTGTTTTTCTAGAACGGTAAAGAAGTTTTAATAAATAAACAACTTAAAAAATTTAGTAAATTAATGTTTAAAGTAAAGAGAGTTTAACATGGGGGACAGTGCCAGCTGTCATTTTATTGCCTCCTTTTTTATACTATTGGAAACTAGGAACAGCCTATCAGGTTTAATTTCACTAAATCCAAATAAGGAATTAGGAATTAAGGAATTATGATTTAAGCCCAGTGGTACATGCTGAAGGCAAATTGCTTCTTTGAATACACGTAATAGACTTCTAAAAGGTTGAAAATTACTTTTGCTCCAAAGTAAAATCCACAGGTGAGATATGATCTTGAAATCTGCCATATAAAAAAAAGTGAAGAACAGCCAAAGTAAAATACTATTACCGATTTGAGTACATAGGATGTGCTTGTATTTAGGCAGGAAACCCCCTCTTCATTACAGCAGCCTCCACATCTGAACACGGAGACGCAGGGCGGTTTAAAGAACGTGTTAGTGGCAGTGCCAAGATCCTTTGCAACATCAACGCAGGTTTCTCGGGGTATGCACTGTGTCTTCTGCCACTCTTCATCAATAACTGCACAGAGAATGAATAATAGTTTGATCATACATTATGCATTACAACTGTGAAGCCTTTTTATCAGTGAAACGCAGACCGCAAAGAGCCTCTTTACAATAACTCTTGCCCATGTGTAAGAAGGTCAGATCTTGTCTCCATTAAGAACAAATTTATCTCCAACAGTATGTTGTGCCTGCAAGATTTTCATGGGTGTGTTTCAATGTTTTACCTCTGTTCCCTGCCACAATCCACCATTAAATGAATAAATCTAGGTGTCCCTTACTGGCAGAGCTTGATTTGAAATGGCTAGCACTTCTGAACCCACTACCATAATTTCCCATTTAAAGAGCTAAGTATCATTAATAGGGAAAGAATGACCACCACTGTAAGAAAGTATTTTTCTATCCCAACTGCAGTCCCTTCTCACCTGGTTTTCCATGCATTGGTACCTCTTGTCCTTTAGGACTTCTGACTAGAGTCACAAGCAGCACAGCAAGTATGTCCTCCCCTGCATTATGCTGTAGTTTTTTAGTGAAGAAATACCAAAGTTCCCAAGCACACTTGCTAGCTAGTCACCACAAAAAAACCCAAAACAAAAAAAGATAAATTGTTACATCTCAGCTAATTTGTTCATTTGCAAAGCCATATGTCCTCATTAAGGCACCTCTGTGGGGGCCCTTAATGCAAAACCAGAGTTGCTAACTATAGGACATATACATAGCCATGCATACATTGAGAATAGGATTTTAAATAGATCAGCTGCCGTTCTTGCTTTGTTTCGATATGATGCAAGACATACACTGGGGGTCTTCAGCTGCCTTTAGCAATGTTGGGCTTCTGATTTGTTGAAGTACCTTTAGGAAGATGCCCCCAGGTAAGTCACAGAAACCTTCATGTTGCAAGCAGGTTTTGGAGTTATAGTAAGCCAAAATCTAATGTAGATCATTTACTGTTATGCCAAACGGAGCATTCAGACATAAAGAGGGACATATCTTATTTATTGCTGCACTTCATATAATTCTCCAGCTCTTCTTTGAGAGGAGATTAGGAGTACAAAAAGTCAAACTGGTTGCCCACCATTGGTCTATAGTATAGTCCTGACATTGCATGTTAAAGTGGAACTGAACTCAAAACATGAAGATTTGCGACATTTTAGGGAACTAGAAATGTTACAAATGTAACAAATCTGCCTAGGTTCTCTTTGTGCATAGTTTTACAAATCTTGCTCAAAGTTTAAGTTTTGCAAACTTTGAGACACACTTCATTGAAGCCTCTGGGGCAATAATCTTTTTATTCAGTTCTGGACATTTTTAGGGTTAATAGACAATCTGTTGTAAAACAAACAACATGGGAATCCAGGAACAGTTGTGGGGGACATGTATCAATTTCGAAATGTAAAAAATGAAAATAAACAGTACTGGCTACTACTGTATTTAGAAATATTCTCCTTGCTGGAGGCTGTGATGTGGGGAAGCAAAGCCCTGCCCCAATCAAGATGGCCACCTCCACACAGAGACACAGTGCAGAACAAGGTTTTAAAGGGGAGTGGGATGATACATTTTTGCAGATTTGGTCTCCCTGGATTGAGCACTGCCAATCTTACCTAAGAGCATTGCAACTGTGATCGCCTATTTTCCTCTTTTCTCTCTGTTGCAGGACCCAATCGGCCCTGCAGGGTGCTGCCCCCTTTTTTTTTTTTCGCTTCTCCCCTTCTCCTGCTCTCTCAGATTCATCTTTTTCCTGAACCCTCCTCTTTTCCTCCTTTCCCTGATGTCTATTTTCCCCCTTTCCTCCTCCCCTTCCCTCCTTCCCCTTCCCCCCATTTTTTTTTTTTTTTTTTTCTCTTCCCCCTTTTTTTTGCCCAGTTGGGCCATTTGTTTTTGGCCATTGTTTTGCAGGGCCAGAAGGTAACCATATGGTCACCCATCCCTACGCCACATAACTTATTGAAGTGTGGAGCCCTTGTATTTTCCTGGGCTCCAGCCTTTTTTCCTAGGTTTCCCCATTGTAAGGTAATGTTTGGAACCGTATACCAAAATACCCTTGATTTTTCCTTAGGTGTCATTGCATACAGTATATGGTTTTCTAACTCTAATGGCCATGGATGTTATGCCATAACTGGTTATTTTCAGTGCCCACATTGGGGTGTTTTCACCCCCTCCATTGTACTTTTGTAACCCAGTTTGGTTGCCTATTGTTTATTTTTTTTTTACTGTGTAACCTACTTTTGTACACTTGTAAATTCCAAAAAAAACCTCTTGAACCAGAAAAGTCTGTATTGGGGAAAAACTAGCTGCCCGGAGACCACAGACAATACTGGTTAATAGTCACCAGCTCTCAGCAACTCTCTGTCTGCCTTTTTTTTGTGCACAGCATTCACAGTCTAGTAGTTTACCATAGTAAACAAGAACATTTTTCCTGCTGTTGTTTAGATTAGCAGGTAGCAGCAATTGGAATAAAGAAGAGTAAGCAGGACTATTTCAGGTGGTATCACATCTTTGCCTCCAGTGAATGATTAATCATATACTTTTTAAATTCATACTGTATATGGACTTGGTTAAACTTTGAAATTAAGCAAAGGCCAGTCGTAATGCAGTATTATCTCTTTTATTTACTTTTTATAGATGCCTGGAAATACTACACAGAGAGATGATGTAATTTTACTCTATAAATAGATATAGATACCTAAAAAAGCCATGGGAAAGGATCAAAGCATGCATATAAAGCATAAATTCTTGGCTGATAATCATATAATCTGCCTTGTATGTTCAGAAAGTAATGGTGGCAAAACAAACTTTACCAATAAATTTATATAACAGATGAATATTGGAGAAAAACATTGTCAGGAATACATAAACCAGATGATGGATAAAATAAAAGTGCAAACTATCCGCTTCCTGACTGGCCTATAGCAGAAATACTGCTACAGGGCGGCATGAGTGTGCAAAATCACGTATAAATACGTGATTTTGTGTCTCCAGGTAGTGAGGCACGCGCACCATACCCGCACCGCCATTCATGGCCACGGCTGTCAATCACCGGGTCCCAGCCGGTGATTACTCGCCAGCACTAGGTGATTGCTGAGTATTTCCGACAGGTAGGAGAACTGTTTGTAAACAAAACAGTTCTCCTCCCTGTCAGCTCGTGCACACTGCTTTGGATGGCTGTGCACAGCACAGCCATCCAAACAGTGTGCCTACAGTGAAGCACATGGACACAGCACATAGTAAAACAGCACACAGCACACAGTTAACCCTTTGATCACTCTACATGTTAACTCCTTCCTGCCCAGTGCCATTAGTACAGTGTCAGTGCTTTTTTTTAGCACTGATTACTGTATTGGTGTCACTGGGGATGTCAGTGACACCAAGTCAGTTTCCCCCCAGTATGCCTGCCGCAGAATGCCCACCGCAGTCCCGCAATAAGTGGTTGATCACCGCTATTACTAGTAAAATAAATAAAATAAAAAACACACAGGCAATCAAATACCACCGAAAGAAAGGTCCATTAGTGGGGAAAAAAAGGATGTAAATTTCATTTGGGTTCAGCGTTGCATGACTGCGCAATTGTCAGTTAAAGTAACGCAACGCCGTAACGCAAAAAATGGCCTGGTCAGGAAGGGGGTAAATCGTCGGGAGGGCAAGTGGTTACACAGGTGACCATAAAACAACATTTTCTGCTCCAAGGCATTTTGTACTGTTTCATATTCACTGATGTTTGTCCATGTAGGTATGCAGTATCATTTTTGGAACTTATTGCTTTATAGACATGTGCATGCCAGAAATTTTTCGTTTAGTTTTGATGCATTTGTTCATTAAAGAATTTTATTTTGTTACAAGTGTTATGTTGAATCAGTTTTCAAGATTTGTTTTGTTATATTCGGCATTTGTTTCGTATATTTGTTGGTCTGGGTGGATTAGAAAAACTTTGCAGTTTTTCAGGAAGATTGCTATATATTTCGGGTGGATTCATATTTATATATCAAAACTATTGATATATAAATTCCATATTTTCAGACGCAATGGAATAAATAATGCAAAATTCAGCGGCCCCGAATTTTTCAAACCTAAGAATTGTAGGCTGTGGAACTGAACTGACTGACTGTAACAATTAAAAATTAAATTTAGAGCACACATTTACTTAAATCCAAATTAGTAAACAAATTGGAAAAGTGAAATCATTTCCCCATGGACCTGAACTACTATTGAATCATGTGGTGTTATCTGAATGAAACTAATGCATTTGTCATATGGTTGAACTGGATGGACTTTTGTCTTTTTTTCAGCCAGACTAACTATGTAACTATGTTAATTTTGTTAGAACTTTTTTCAGATTCATTTACATTTGTTACTATATCCATTTGGAGATTTGTATACATCTGAATCCCTGAAAATCATATTTGACATATGTGACAGCTTGCGGCTTCACAGCCGGGTGCCCACTGTGCATGCACGAGAAGCGCTGCGCTTTGTGAATGGCCCCGTAGTCTTCTGGGACCTGTCACGTGTCCCAGAAGACTACAGGGAGGGAGGGGGGGGGGGAGGACAACTTCCACCTCCGATCGCCTAGGCGATCGCAGCGGAAGTGGGAGTGGGATACCTATCAAATTTGGGTACCCGCTCCCTAAAGGTGCCAATCCTTAATGGGGAGCGGGGGACAAAGGCTTAAAGCGGAACTTTCCCTTTTAAGTGTTGGTGGTAAATCTTTACAGACTGTACAGAGATTTCACATAGATGTACCATGTGTACGCAGCTTAAAGTAGAACTATAGGCAAAACTTTTTTTTTAATTTTGGATTGGGCAAGGGAAGGCTATAACCCCTGTCAGATTTTTTTGCCATCTGTGATCCATTGATTTCCTTTCCCTTCCATTCCCATAGTCAAACAGGACGTGAAAGGAAATTCCTGCAAATTAAGGGAATTCCTTGGGGATCCCCAGGTCACCAAAACTAGTGTCCCCATTGGAAGATTTCTCCTTTATTTTTTCTGGGGACAAAATGTGGGATTTTTTTTACTTTCGTTTCAATGATAATAGTAAACAGAACAAATAGGATGAATCTTATAAAAAAGGGGCACAGACAGCAATAAAAATTGACAGGTGTTCTAATCCCTCTCCACTCTATCTAAAACTAAAAAATAAAGTTTGCCTTTAGTTATACTTTAAGTCAAGGAAGCCAGGTAATAATAATCAGACTTATGTGATAGAAAAAAAATCAGTCTGGCCAAATTGTTTTTTGGAATCAATAGCAGAACCATCAATGCTTGATCAGGCTAGCTGGCACTGAAAACTGTTAAAGATTATCATCAAAATAATACTGAATTATGCTGAGTCGTCCAGCCAACTGCTATTCAGAAATGTGGAAAAGTTGCACAAGTTGGATACCTTTTGACAAATTCAAGTGCCTCTTTATTTTTCCATTAGTGTTATTTGTTAAATATGGAAATGATCCTAGACAGAAAAGCCATTTGAAGCAACTGAAACAAATATAAGTGAAATAAACTATTGGAAAAGAGGCAGCCAACATCAACATACAGTCACGAAGGAGATGCTTAAGGAGCGCACCCAGTGATAGATGCTACAGTTTTATCAAGTGTGTTTTGACAATTTTGACCAGGGACAGAGTCCAACAAAATTTCTTCTCTCTTCCAGTGCTGCAATTTATTTTTTTGCAACATGTCATACCAGATGGTCTTTGTATCCACATGCACTCTAGCTATTCATGTATGTTTGTATTCACATGTAGCTTTGTATGGATGCTTATATCCAGATATAGTTATGGGCAGGGGCGGACTGACAACTCATGGGGCCCCCGGGCAATAGGGGATCATGGGGCCCCTGTGTCCTTGCCCAAACTCAAAAAAGCCTATGAAAAAGGTACCAGGGGCATCTCATGGGGCCCCCTACTGACCCCAGGCCCTCGGGCAGTGCCCGAGTTTCCAAATGGTCAGTCCACCCCTGGTCATGGGTGTATGTTTGTAGCCATATGTAGATATGCGTGGGTATTGCAGATCCCTCCAACATAACCGGCTCAAATCTCTTCCCTTATGATTGGAATCACCCAAGCTTTGTCAATTAACTCTTGTAAAGAGTTTGCTTAAATGTAAGGTGAGTGTAATCAGAAAGGTAGCAAGATGATCAGGAAAAGCATATTTTTCACTTAATGGAGTAGTTCATGATAGAGAGTCTGACATTCTTTGTAGATCACCATTAACTTGTTCCCTTGCCTTCCCTGCTTGGTGTCCTCCTTCTTTCTTATGTCTGGATGCTTGCTCCCATCATCAGCTAGACGGTTTTTCGTGCTGAGTCCTGACCACGTTGCAGCTACACACCTGGCCTAGTGTTTAAACTGTTTAAACTGGGATAACTACACAGTAAATGGGTTCAAAGGTATCTGTATCCTGAACTGCAAGGCTGCTTCTGTGTACTTAAATCTGTTTACTTGTTATGACTACTTTTTGGCATCATCCTCAGGTATCTGTTACTTCTGCTTATGACTTGGACTCTTTTTAGTTTCTCTCTACTGTTGACCACACTGCCTGGTGATACTTGATTAAGCTTGATCTTCTACTTGTTCTGACTACATCTCTGCATTAAGATATGGTACTAGATTTTGTTTTCCAGCACATCACACCTCAAAAATGTAATATATTGAGGTTTAATTTTAAAGTGCATAATTATAAAGTGTAAAAACGTGCCAAAAAGTGCAAAGAGGTCCTCAGTGGACCCTTTTCTCAGGGCGACAGAAGGAAATCACTGAAGGCCAGAAATGGTGATGTCATATTTACACCTCACCACCCCTTCCTCTACTTAAAGTTTAATATTTTAGTTTCCATCTGTTGAATTATTACAAAATTGGAAATAATTATGAATTATGTTTTTTTTTTCTTAGTTATGTCCATTGAACTAATGCTGCTAGAATTTTCTAAATTAACGCTCACCCCTGAAGGAGAATACGCTCATGTCCTTCCAGATAGTAAAGAGGCTGCCAGTCAAACAAGCACCGTCCCATGCACACTCACAATTAAAGTGGGTTTAAAGGCTCAAGGTTTTTTTTACCTTCATGCTTTCTTTGCATGAAGGCAAAAAAACCTTCTTTGTGTCGCAGGCCCCCCAGACCTCCCTAACACTTACCTGAGCCCCATGCCAATCCAGCAATGTCCACGAGAGCCTCGGTTCTCTGGGGACTCTCGTTCCTGATTGGCTGAGGCAGCAGTGGGAGCTATTGGCTCCTGCAGCTGTCAATCACATCCAGTGAGCCAATCAGGAGAGGGAAGGGTGGGTCCGAGCCATGGCACTGTGTGTGGATGGATATAGAGAGCTGTGGCTCAGGAGTGTGTCTGCTTGGGTGCCCCCATAGCAAGCTCTTTGCTGTGGGGGCACCCAACAGGATGGAGGGGTCAGTGCCCCTACAGATCTAATCACAGTGCCCCCTATATATTCAAAGAGATGGCCCAATCCAGCAAAGAGACAGCCCATCCAGCAAAGAGACAACCTGTCCAGAAAAGAGACAGTCCATCCAGCAAAGAGACAGCCCCATTCAGCAAAGAGACAGCCCCATTCAGCAAAGAGACAGCCTATCCAGCAAAGAGACAGCCCATCCAGCAAAGAGACAGTTCATTCAGAAAAAAGACCGCCCATCCAGCAAAGAGACAGCCCATCCAGCAAAGAGACAGTTCGTTTAGCAAAGAGACTGCCCATCCAGCAAAAAGACAGCTCACCCAGCAAAGAGACAGCCCAATCCACCACTGATCTGTAACAGTGTGCTGGCGGATGAAGGAGAACTGTGCTATAAAGGGGGACTGCACTGTATTGATTACAGTGCCCCTTTACAGTGCAGTCCCCTTTCTATCATAGTGTCCCTTTACATTACAGTGCCCATACAGATCTAATCACAGTGCCCCCTACTTATTCAAATAGATGGCCCAATCCAGCAAAGAGACAGCCCATCCAGCAAAGAGACAGCCCGTGAAGCAAAGAGACCACTCCATTCAGCAAAGAGACAGCCCATCCAGCAAAGAGACAGTCCGTCCAGCAAAGAGACAGCCCGTCAGCAAAGAGACAGCCCATCCAGCAAAGAGACAGCTCAATTCGGCAAAGAGACAGCCCATCCAGCAAAGAGACAGTTCATTCAGCAAAGAGACCGCCCATCCAGCAAAAAGACAGCTCACCCAGCAAAGAGACAGCCCAATCCACCACTGATCTGTAACAGTGTGCTGGTGGGTGAAGGAGGCCGCTGTTGTCCCTTCAGTGCGCCTTTGTGCAGCAGCCAGTCAGGGCCCTCGGCGGCTCCTCCTGCCTGTTGCTGGAGCTGTCACTGCCACTCCTCCTGTCAGCCCTGGTTTGGGCATAGCGGCACATCGGGAGGTGAGTGGCGGCCGTGGTCTGTGTTAGTTCTGTTCAGGCCACGGTCCCTGCTTACCTCCTGCTGTGTGGCCCGGTCATGAACAAGCTGCTCTTCTTCAGCCTGGTGGCCCTGGCCCCTCGGGCAAATGCCCAATGTGCCCTATGGCCAGTCTGGGCCTGGCCTGGGCCCTGGCATGCTTTATAAATAGATGCTATTTTTTTAAACTATATTTCCATTCCATACTCATATTATTAACAGACAGTCATTCCCATGGCCATGCAGATCAAAAGCATTCTCACACTGTTAACGATCAGACACTTTACGCTTCTCATGCTTGAATCTGGACTATTAAGATTCTTTTATGTTTTGGTAAATGCCATTTTACTTACTAACCATCACTGCACACATATTTCATCAATGTACTTTCTTTACAGATACCAGCATTGTGGCTATTAATAAATATTACTATTATCACTACTATAATGTAGGTTTAAAACATTACAGCACAGTAGAAAGTGTGCTAATGTACATACAAGTTTCAATACATAATAGAAGATTTAAAGAGTATTTATCATATTTATTTGCTTTTATTCAAAGTATAAAATACTATAACATACATTACACAAAAACACTTATTAAAATCATTAGCTTTAAACCAAAATTTAGCTTCGGCATGTCCAATATCTTTTTACATGTGTAAATATTTCTTATTACCCATTTAATTTTAAAAAGTCTCAAAGTTGAACTTACTGTCTCCACTCTTGCAGTATATGCTTCAAGTTTCAATGCTCAGCTGTTTCATCCTATTTCCTTAAAATTTTGTGTCTCATAAAAACCTTAGAAATGTTACAGAGATCCCAACTGAATTAATTTCTGCCTTTTCATTTCCTACCATTCCTTTATTCCTGTGTCTACAATTAATTCTGCTCTCTCGATATCTCCTTTTGTAGCCACCCATTCAGATGTCCTGAGAGCAGAGAGGGTTGACGAATGATGTGCCTAAGTGAAAGAACACATCCCTGGTATCCCTATAGATACGTATGTTCCTTCCTCCTGGCCACTGGATGGTGCAGAATATAGCTGTGCTGTGCTGATCAGTTGCTTGATTACTGTTCCAAAAGCAGGTCTGATAGAGTGCAATCAAGCAACTGATGGGAAGACTACATAGCTAAAGTCTATAGTCCCTTTCAAATGCCAACTCTTTTTCTGGAATAAACATGTCTAAAGGGTCCCCATGGATGCCTTCTTTCATTTTTGCAATCAATAGGAAGCTGATCACCACCCCTACTGGTAGTAGGAAATACTAAAAAAAAAAACAACTGCAGCTAGTGGGATGGACTGAGGATGAGAACACATTTTCAAAGTAAAATTATGAAATTTATGTGAATTTAGTACTCCTCTAAAATGTTTTGCCTGGAGTTCCACGTTAAGGGCATCATTTATTGTATGTTATTGCTCATTACCTTTTAGTATTTCAATATCATAGAAGGCTGCAGCAAATCGGGTGGAGCGATGAGGCCCAGATCTCGCGTCAGTGCTAATGTAGGATTTAAGCTTCGACCGACACCTCCACAGTTTCAGCTCTCTGGGGTGAGTTATACGAAGAAGCTCTTCCAGGTTGGCCGCAGATCTGATTTTGTATTCTAGCTCGCTCTGTGTTATTCCCTACAGGTTCAAAAAGACAGAAACAGAATCAAGTTAAATTGCTGCTGGATATAGCCTTGGTTTGCAAAGTGTTTTCGCGAAGGGTTGGCTTTGATATCTAGGCTAAGAAGCAAATAACATTTTTTGATTTCCTTGGGACAGTAACAAAGATTGCTGATTCGTCCTTGGAAAATTATGTTGCTTAAATTGCCCCTGTATTGGTCAACCTTACAATAACAATACGTTTTTTACTCCAGCATTGCATGAAGTTCTAAGATCTGCTGTAATTGTCTTGCCTTGTTAAGGTGTACAGGATTATTTAATAAAACTCAAATGTGCACAGTGCCTATTCAGCAATCATATTTCATTGATCTGATTTTGTTTAATGGAAACCATCACAAAAATATGTATATGTATTTTGATAAGATGAAGAAAGTGTCTAAAAAAATACTTACTAGACCATAGAGTCCAGCGTTGTTTTGCTTGAAGCAAAAGCTCTCCCTTTGCCCCTCTGCTTAAGGCATCACCATCTTTGATTGAGATCCAGCACATGGGCAGACAGAGATGAGATGTCCTCAGCATGCGTGCTCATGTGCCAGATTCCCTGCACATATGCAAATATGCCACGTCTTACTACTAACATGTGTAACTCATACATGACATTTCACAAACAGCTACTAAGATGGCTATGTCTTACATCCCAGGAGGAAGTTTGTGAGATGTCCCATATCTGCGTATGTGGGGGGACATGATGTAATTTGGGCCCTTGTAAGCCGTGTACCGGGGTGGGCTCCCCAGGATACAGTGAAGTCACGAACGAGGAAAGCAACCCAACACCAGCTTTTGCCACAACAGAATTTTACTTAGATATGGCAAATAAACACAACCACAAATGCTGGAAACATACAATAAATTCACATACACCCAGCCCAAAGGCTGAGACCCTTGTGCTGCACAGCACGGCGCCTTCTGATGGATGAAGGTAGAAAGTGAAGTAATTTACCTACTGGCGGGCACAACTAAGCTGCCACACCTTACCTGTTATTACCCTAAAAGAGCAGGAATCAGTGTATGGGTGTATGGTATGGGCTACCTTGCGGTGCAGCACAACAGCTTACAATCTTACACAAATCTACAGTATTCCCTCTCCCATAACTGGTCCTGTAGCACGTGCCTGAGTATTCCTTCTGAGCAAAACGCCAGTCTGGCTTGAGTTTGTAGGATTTTATCAGCTCTCCAATGTGAAATGTCACTTTAAGTTGTGGAGTCCGTCCAATGATCAGTAACAACACTTGTGGCCTGACACAAACAGAGACCCTAACTAACTATAGGCCTGGACTCAGTCTCAAGGCGCCAACACTGAAATGAGGTGCGTGCACGATCTTACCGACCCGGGTCTGCTTTGCATCCGCTGGTGACTCTGAACAGAACAAATGTCTCTCCAACAAGCATGCGGTCTCGCCGTATATGTTGCTTAGTTCCTCTGCTCTCATCAGCCTTCCTGGCAGCAATCTCATCAGCTTCACTTAGCTGCAGCTCTGGTTACGGAGGGACACTTTCACACCTGGATGTCATCAGATTCTCAGCTCACAGGGCCCCTTATTCACCATGCTCCAAAACATGGCTCCTCTCTCTCCTTCCTGTTCTCTCTAACTCTGTGTGCAAAAAAAAACCCCACCTCTTCATGAATATACAAATATCTATGCAGTCTGAGGCTGTGTTGGAGAAACAGTGACATCTTGTGGCTAAACTGCAGAATGTCAGTCAAAACATTAATTTACTTCCACACAAACAGTGTTCAAACAATGAGAGCTGTTTCCTTATCTCACACCTAGTGGCAAGGCAAAGCCAGAACAGCCATGTGTACTGATCAATCAATGTCAATGGGATTTTACTAGCTTGAATTTGACATGCAGGGAAACAACAACTTGTATAGCACTAAAAGCGGTTCTGATGCAAACAAATACACGTGTATACAAGCCCTAACAATATGTGACTAATACGTGTAATGATAGTTTTCAGTATATGAATTCTTTTAATAATTTAAAGTGACAGAGATTGGAGAAAAAACTGCCTGGGGTACTTACAACACTTACAATCTATTTTAAACAAACATATCGCTAGAACTGCCCTGGCAGTGCTCTAGCTTGTCCAAAATGCTGCAAATATCATTCCTGCTGGACAGCTTGGCCTACACGGAAATGTGAAAAAATTACTATAGATGTGAAATAAAAACTAATATATATATATATATATATATATATATATATATATATATATATATACATACAGTTGTGTTCAAAATAATAGCAGTCAGACATCACTAACCTGATCAATCACTGTTTTTGTTAGAAATGATATTTCTACATGGCAAATAATTTACTAGCAGGTGTAGTAGAGTAATAGAAATCCAACAGACCCAACAGTCATGACATGCATGCTGCTGATTCTGTGTAATTGAATCACTAATTGAAAGGGGCATGTTCAAAATAATAGCAGTGTGGAGTTCTATTAGTGAGGTCATTCATTCTTTCAAAAACAGGTGGCAATTATTGCCCTTATTTAAGGAAGGAAGGCAGCAAATGTTTTACATGTTGGTTAAAGTGCATTTGTCTCTGAAATTATGGGGAAAATGTGTCGTTCCAGACATTGTTCAGAAGAACAGCGTACCTTGATTAAAAAGTTGATTGGAGAGGAGAAAACATATAAAGAAGTGCAGAAAATGATAGGTTGCTTAGCTAAAATGATTGCAAATGCTTTAAAATGGCAACCAAAACCTGAAAGACGTGGAAGAAAGCGAAAAACTACCATTCGAATAGATAGAAGAATAGCCCAAATGGCAAGGACTCAGCCAACAATCAGCTCCAGGAAGATCAAAGAAGGTCTAAAGTTACCTGTGAATACTGTTACAATTAGAAGACGCCTATGTGAAGCCAAGCTATCTGCAAGAAGCCCCCAGCAAAGTCCCACTGTTGAAAAAAAGGCATGTGCTGAAGAGGTTACAATTTGCCAAAGAGCACATTGACTGGCCTAAAGAGAAATGGTGCAACATTTTGTGGACTGATGAAAGTATGATTGTTCTTTTTGGGTCTAGTGGCCAGAGACAGTTTGTCAGACGACCCCAAACACTGAATTCAAGCCACAATACACTGTGAAGACAGTGAAGCATGGTTGTGCAAGCATCATGATATGGGAATGTTTCTCATACTACGGTGTTGGGCCTATTTATCGCATACCAGGGATCATGGATCAGTTTGAATACATCAGAATACTTGAAGAGGTCATGCTGCCTTATGCTGAAGAGGGAATGCCCTTGAAATGGGTGTTCCAACAAGACAACGACCCCAAACACACAAGTAAACGTGCAACATCTTGGTTCCAGACCACCAAGATTGACGTTATGGAGTAGCCAGCCCAATCCCAGGATCTTAATCCAATAGAAAACTTGTGGGGTGACATAAAAAATGCAGTTTCTGAGGCAAAAAAAAATAGAGAACTGTGGAATGTAGTCCAATCATCCTGGGCTGGAATACCTGTTCACAGGTGCCAGAAGTTGGTTGACTCCATGCAACACAGATGTACAGCAGTTCTCAGAAACAGTGCTTATACAACTAAATATTAATGAAGTGATTCAAAGGAAAGCAAAATCTTCAAACATTTTTCAGTTTATATAGTGAATGTTTGAGTTTGTAAAGAAGAATACAAACACTGATATTTTTTTGAACAGTCTAATATTCACTTTTCTTCAATTTTTTTAGAGGAACAACACAAATTTGATATATTTTTCTTCATGTTTTGGTTTGGAATAGAATGTGTAGTGTTCCCAATGCATTTGTGTGTATGGAAATAAAAGCTATTAGAAGGATTTTGAGCTTTATTCACTTTTTCCAACACACTGCTATTATTTTGAACACAACTGTATATATATGCTGTATATATATATATATATATATATATATATACATGAGGAGTGTCCAGAATATAACGAGAATGAAGTTCCTTTGCTTGAGAAGGGCTCTGTGAAGGGAGAAGCTGGCCACTTGGGCTGGGGTGCCAGGTATATGTTAGATCACGGATCAGTTGCATTCCAGCCCTGTTGAGACATTTTTTTTTGTGACACTGTGTTCAAGTGCGTAGTATTAAGAAAAATGCAAGTGAGTTTGGAATAGTGGTACGCAATAACTTTTTGTGTGAAATTGGGTGACAGTGCATGGCGAGGAAAGCTTATGGAGAAGCTGCACTATCATCTGCACAAGTGTACTGATGGCACAAGGTTTTCAAGGAAGGACGAGGTGTTGAAGACAAACAATGATCAGGATGCCACTCTCCATCAAAAATAGAACAAAATGTAGATGCATTGAAGTCTGTTCTCAACCGTGATAGCTCACTATCAGAATGATTGCACAGGAAATGGGAATTACCAAGTCAATTGTTCATGACTGACTCAGGATTTGAACCCCAAGATGAAGAAGAATTTGAAAGGACACCATTTTGGTAGTGTGGATAACGTCCAAAGAGCCACTATGCAGGCTCTGAACACAATCCCACTTGAAGACTTCCAGGGATGCTACGAAGAATGGAAAAATCGCTGGAAGTTTTCATGCACATGCTGCATACTTTGAAGGAGACAATGTTCAGTTGTAAAATTGTTCAATAAAATAAGTTTTAAATATTAATCTCATTACTTTCTGGAGACACGTTGTATATACAGTATATATATATATTTGAACTCTGGAGCTGGAATAGGGTACAGTGTTTGACATATCACTGGCATCATTCCGGTATGACACTTGAAACCCATACGTATCGGGGTGTTCAAGTGGCTAGTCATCAGACTACAGTATATGATATGTGAATTTCTCAAAACCTAATTATACAGAGCTAACAGTTTTTAGTACAGCATATATTACTGGATGTACTATACATAACCCGTCCTATACAAATCACAACAGTACAATAAAATGAAGCTTGTAATAGTGTTTCTTTTACTATTCCTCTCCTGAAATGTATAAAGCTCTTGTTATTTGTATGG